TCATTAAAGTGCGGGCCAGATGCTCCTCCTTGTAATTTCTATGAACCAGTTGAGCATATTTAGCTTTTGAAAACATTCCAAAGAGTGACTAACATATGTTGAACAGTCCTTTAGAACCTTCAAACGACTGCTAAATCTGAATGTATAATTTTCCACAAGGAAAGTCACATAATTAACATCATATATGTTGCAGGTTTCCTGATTTTGCATAAAGCAGCATATGTTTTATATGTATCCACAGAAAAGAAAAAACTAAAATGTATATCTCAGTTGTTTCTCATAGGCAAAAATAAGAGCAAATGGAGAATTAAAGGGATCATTCAATCAATTACTGTCATCAGTTACTCACCCTCATGTCTTATTTACTCTAAGATTAAATGATCTGCATCTCTCCATATTAATTTCACTGCTCATTTCATTTGTCTATTTTTGTTTATTTTTACCATGGAATTTTCTGAGAAACATCGGAGATCAAGTCAGTTAAATATAAACCTAAGAAATCCTAACTAAGAACTCAGGCCTCCTAAGATTTAAAAGAGCAACATCTGAGAAAATACATTTTCCTTTGAGTAATGAGTGTCCTGTAATCTGTAAAGAGAATTTTCTCAGTTCATATTGAATGTTCAAGCTATCTCTGTTCTGGACAGACTGACTCCTCTGCTGTCTGACCTTCCAATCCATCTCCACATTAACCCCACCACTCCCAATCCCAGAATGCATTACCACTCCCTACAATAGTCCTCCCATGTCCTCTCCTAATCTTGTCCCCTGTCCTCTAACAGTGCCTGCCATTACTTAACGTGCACTCAAAGGTGCTTTTTCCTCAGACATTTACAAATATGATATAGATTGCATTAGTGCCTGTTTACTTTTTCAGCAGCATTGGTTCCAGAAGTATTTTTTTTCTTTTTTTCCCCATAGGGATAAAACAAAGTATTTGTTAAAGCATTATAAGCCATGAACCAAGCCAACCAGCTGAAGGTGAATCACTACATCACAAACTTTTATTTGAAGCAAAAAAGCATTTGAAAATGAAAGGTCGACGTTGATTACTGCTGAGCTCTTTTGGTGTGATTTGCTTAACACAACTCTCTGATTGGTGGAATTTTCTGCACAGAATTATGGGTAATGTAGTTTTCATCATGAATTCCACTGTTAAACTTGATTCTAACTTCTAAATTATTTACTGTTGATTAACAACCTCAGAGCTCACAAACCCGTCTTTAAAGGTTTATAAATTAAAAATAAATTTTCCTATAGAGAAGAGTTTTTACTTCTGGACTGTTGCACTCGATTAGCGTCACACAGGAGCATTTTAATCATCAAAAGTCATTGTTGTTTACTGTCATTTGTGCAAGTTTGTATGAATTCCTGCTTGAGTGTGTTTCCACAGACTATAGACAAGACCGAATACAATAGACAGTATTGCTATGTATAAAAATATACATATATTTGGTTATAAAAATAACCAAACAATAAACTGAGTGTCATTGATTAGCTTAAAGTAACTGGCACAA